TAGCTAGGGAAAGAGTAGGCCACTCAAGGATATAAGAGGGAGGTTATGTGTGGATCCAGAGGAAATGGGTGAGATCCTTAATGAATACTTTACATTAGTTTTCAGCGAAGAGAAAGTTGTGAGGGATATTGAGGTTAGGGAAAGGTGTGTGGATACTCTCTGGCAGGTCAACATAATGAAGGAGGAAATGTTAAGTGCCTTGAAATGTATTAAGGTAGATAATTCCATAGGGCCAGATGGGATCTATCTCAGGATATTGTGGGAGGCAAGAGAGGAAATAGTTGGGGCCTTAATAGATATCTTTACACCTTCTTTGGCTTCAGACAAGGTTCCAGAGGACTGAAAAATGGCCATTATTGTTCCTTTGTTTAAGAAGGGGAACAGAGATAATCCAAGTAATTACAGGCTGGTAATCCTGATGTCAGTAGTGGGGAAGCTACTGGAGAAGATACTGAGGGACAGGATTTATTCACATTTGGAAGTGAATGGACTTATTAGTGATAGGCAGCATAGGTTTGTGTGCGAAGGTCATGTCTCACTAACTTGATTGAGTTTTTTGAGGAGGTGACAAAAATGATTGATGAGGGAAGGGCAGTGGATGTTGTCTACATGGACTTTAGTAAGGCATTTAATAAGGTACCCCATGGCAGTCTAGTACAAAATGCACCATCGAATGGATCCAGGGTGAGCTGGCTGGATAGATACAAAACTGGCTTCGTTATAGGAGACAGAGAGTAGTGGTGGAAGGGTGCTTTTCAGAATGGAGATGAGTAACTCATGGTGTTCTGTAAAGATCAGTGCTGGGACTTTGTTGTTTGCAATATATATAAATGATGTGGAGGAAAATATAGGTGGTCTGATTAGAAAGTTTGCAGATGACACCAAAATTGGCAAAGTTGCAGATAGTGAGGAGGATTGTTAAAGAATACAGAGGGCTATAGATAGATTACAGATTTGGGCAGTGAAATAGCAGATGGAGTTTAATCCAGACAAATGCAAGGAAGTTCAAATTTAGGTGCAAATTATACAATAAATGGCAGGATCTTTAGGAGCATTGACATACAGAGGGATCTGAGCATGCAGGTTCACAGATACCTGAAAGTGGCAACACAGGTGGTCAAGAAGGCATACAGCACGCTTGCCTTCATGGGCTGGGGCATCAAATATAACAGTTGGCAAATTATGTTATAGTTGTATAAAAATTAGTTAGGCCATATTTGGAATATTAAGTGCAGTTCTGGTCGCCATATTACCAAAGGCAGTGGATGCTTTGGAGAGGATACAGAGAAGGTTTACCAGGATGTTGCCTGGCCTAGCGGGTTTATAGTTATGAGGAGAGGTTGGATAAACTCAGGATTGTTTTCACTGGAAAGACAGAGGCTGAGGGGTGACCTGATAGAAGTCTACAAAATTATGAGAGACATAGATAGGGTGGATAGTCAGGGTTTTTTTTCCCAGGGGAGAAGTAGGCATAGTTTAAGGTGAGTGTGGGAAAGTTTAGAGGCGAAGTGCAGGTAAAATTTTTCAGACTGAGATTTGTTGGTGCCTGGAGGTGGTGGAAGCAGGCACATTAACAACATTTAAGGCATACCTTGATAGACACATGGGTAATAAATAGCGGGTTTAAATAAGGACTAGGAAGCAGCACAGGCTTGGTGGGCTGAAGGGCCTGTTCCTGTGCTGTATTGTATTTTATATAAGTCCACACATTCATCAAAAGATTGAACCATTAAAAACTTACATCAATAAGCCGGCTACTGCTGTAAAAAGTGGCCGCACCCTCTCTTTCACCCAACTCTGCTACACTTGCTGGATTTACCCTCTTTTCTGCTGCAAGAGAGAGAAGAAGATTCTAGAAGAAATGGATACTATCAGCAGATTGGAACCAGCTTTGCAGGCAGCAGCAATCTGACCAGCTGCTGGAAGATCTAGGCCGATATCCATCAGAAATGGTGTTAAACTGACGGCCTAGCTGTCTGAGTTTTCAGGCAGATGTAAAAGATCCCAATTTTTGAAGAAGAGTGGGAGAATTCTCCCATGTAAGACTATAAGAAATAGCTCCTTGAGTCCGCTCTGCCATTCAATAGGATCATGGCTGTTCCAACCTTCCTCATATCCATTTTCTTGCTCTTTCCCCATAACCCTTGATTCCTCTACTGATCAAGAATCTATCTGTCTCAGCCTTAAATACATATAAATACATAGCTCTCTAACTTCCCCCTCCCTGATGCATCACAGTATCTGTAGCTTGACCTCCAGTTTATTGACTCTGAACCAGAGTTGACACGAAGGGCTGAATAACCTTCTTCTGCACTGTAATGATTCTGTGATTCTGAGCCAATTCTCCCTGAGCCATTGGCTCTCACTGAAAATATGTTTGCCATCAATAATACTGGTGTCCATGAGTCCCACAATCTCCCACACTGCGGCTATAAGGCATCACCTGCCCTGATACCCTTGTTACATTTTAATGAACTAATTAATTATTTTCCAAAGTTGAAGAAATTTTAGTTAAAGTCTCCCCGCCATCATTTACTGTACTAACTTTAACCTTAACATGATAATAAAACTTTATCACTTAAAATAAAACAAAACAGTACCCTCAGCAGCTTCTTACTTCCCTTTTGTTAGTGAATCTTAATTACTCATAAAGTCTGAATAGATTTGTTCAGTCACAGATGTTAAGATCCTAGCTGATGGTACTACTAGACAAGTCAGATGTCAGAACGAAACCTGGCTTGATAATTTTTAAAAAATTTTATTTACTGTGGTGGCCAATTATTGAAACATTATCATTGAAACATGAGGCTGCAGAGTTTTTTAACAACGGAACACAAGTTTACTACACAACAGGCAAAATAAAGAACAGCTATCTAGATACAGAGCGTTTGAAAGATTTTGAAACGCACAGAAAAGCAATGTCTCATCAGCTCACCAACAACATCACCTTACAATGATTGAAATTCAGAAATATTACCCCTCTATATCAAATATTTAACATTGATGTGGCTGATTCTTCCAGTTTTTCCCTGTGAATTATGAAGTCTTCTTATATGAAAACAGAGTTTAGACTTTTCATCTCATTACTAAGCTGCAAATTTTTAACCAAATACTCCTGGTCTGGAAGTTGCACAAACTAAACTTTTCTACTGAGGTAAATGCGCTTCCATGAATTTTCTTTTACTCATTTTATGAGAGAAACTAGATTCATTTTTTGATCCCACGCAGATCTGGTCCAACCTGCCCAAAGTTATCTGATCCTGGGTTCCTTAGCTAAAAGCAGACTTTAATTATCCTGAACCAAAACCAAGCTAATGGCTCTCAATGTTTATCCCAACTGTTGTGGTATCTACAGTAGAAACAAATCTTCCATTAACACTCAAGGAGTCCCTACTATCTGACAATACTAGATTAGGTTACCGTGCCTGAAAAACTGTGTAATTTTGCTATATTGCTTTCTTAAACCTTCAGAACAACTCCACACGTCACTATGTTAAAATTCAAATTCTAAAATTATATTAACTTAGATACCTTTCATCACAAAGATGCTTCTGATCAAATATACCCTTGTTATAACACAAATGCCCAACGACCCTCATGCCACTGTGCAGAATCTTGATTTTGAACTCTCAGCTTGTCCCTGTGTTAGTTCTCTATTGTCACAGGACTTAGCAAATGGACCTTAAGAGGCCTGGATGCTTCCCAGCTGTTGGTGGGCTGGCGGTGTGGAAGTAAGACACAATTCACTTCAGGCACGGGGAGAGGATGGGCAGAAGGTGGAACGACATAAGTGGAGTCACATCTTTGAATCACTCCAGCCCCTCACCAGACTAAGCCTCAAGTCATAGCAACCTCCACCCCCTCCCTACACCCCATGTCCCCAACAATGGCCTTTCACATCAGGCTTCCCCTGATCCATCTTGTCCCACGCAGATCCCTTTAGTGCACTCCCATTTGGCTGCTTCAGGATTCTCACATGCCCCCTCAGGCCTTTCTGGATTCCTCCTCTCAAGGGACTCTCTTGACCTCTTCTCTCCCACACACCGACACAATTCAATGCGACCCAACCCCTCAACTCTCAAAAGCATTACTTCTGCTAGCACATGATTTTGTGAATATCAAAACACTGGCATTCAAGTTAAAATTAAAAACATCAAAATTGGAATGGAGGAGTCAGAAATGATTTCAAATGAAAAGTCATAGAACTTTTACAGCACAGACAAAAGGTCCTTTAGCTTGTTGGATCTGTGCTGGTCATCAAGCATCTTTCTATTCTGAAACAAAAATAGAAAGTGCTGGAGAAACTCAGCAGGATTGGCAGTATAAGTGGAGAGAGAAACAGAGTTAATGTTTTGATTCCAGTATGACTCTTCAGAACCAGTTTTTAGTTCTGAAAAAGAACCACATCAGACCTGAAATCTTGGCCCTGTTATTTTCTCTTCACAGATGTTGAAGACCTGCTGAATTTTTCCAGCAATTTCTGTTTTTGTTTCTGATTTGGGTTTCTTTTGTTTAGTGAAGAAATCAGCAGGCCTGGCATTATCCGTGGGGAAGGGTCACCGGGCCTGAAATGTTTACTCTGCTTTCCCTTCATAGTTGCTGCCAGACCTGCTGCGTTTGTGCATTTCTGCATGCGTTCCTGCTGAGTTTAACCTTTGATGTTAAGACTATCTCTGGAACCCTACTCCTAGGCTGTTGGTTGGTTAGCTCAGTTGCTGGACAGCTGGTTTATAGAGTAGAGGGAGTCCCATATCAGCCTCAGTTCAAGTCCTGCTGCTGGCTGAAGCTCCCATGAAGGACCCTCTTGCCTGAGGCGTGGTGACTTTCACGTTAAGGTCTTTTTCTCTCTATGGCGGCTGCACCTTAATTGCACAAAGTTGTTGCACAACTGGGGCTTTAACTATTTGAGTTGGGGGGAGGTGCTGCTCCTTTAAGAGACCAGATGAACGAGGGGGAGGGGCGAAGAGGAATGGCAGTTGCCATGCGCGGCGCGGCGCAGTCTGGGAAAGCGCCAGCGGGTGAGTCGCCCTCACACCAAGATGGCGGAGCGGGGAGGCCAGGAGGAGCGGAGGCTGCAGGAGCAGCAGCGACAAGAGCGAGGTCCGGGCCAGCGGTGGTGTTAGAGCGGCTGGGCACCGACACGACACGATAGGGGAGCGAACAGAATTCTTCGCAGCGCTTTTCTGCAGGGTAAAATCTACCGGCGGGAAGCGGAGACTGGGAGTGAGCCGGACGCTCAGCCGCCGCCACCAGAGGAGGAGGAGGAGGCGGCTCGTTTGCGAGGTCGGGGAGGGAAACCTATAACCACACATACACGTCCCTCCCACCTGGGAGGCCTGTCCGCACGCCGGCCCTTGGGACAGGAGCGGAAAAAGAAAAGCCCAGGCTGGAAGGCAACCCGCTTTCGTATGAATTCCGCCGAGGCCAGCTCGGAGTGTGCGCCACCAGAGGCGAACGCAAGGTCGGTGTTAGTTTAAACCCAACACCCCGTCCCCGTCCCCTCCCCCCCTGCCCTGGTGACCAGGACTCGGGGCCTAGTCTCTTCTCTCTCTTCAGCTTTCTTTAATACCTATATGTTTTGTCTGATTAGTTAGCCTGACATTTTGAATGTCCTTTCTGCCAAATAGTGATGTAAAAAAAAAAATACGAATTTATTGTTTTTGATGTCTTTTTTGTTTTGGTCAGCAAGTTGTTTGTTTCCTTCCTAATCTCTCGAATTTACTTTTTCCTTACCGCCCCCCAAAAAATTAACCTGTGTCATATCAGATCCTGGGTTCCTGCTCGGTTTCTTGCTGAAGGTGAGGCCCCCGAAAGTTGGTTGGTTGCTCTTTGGCGGGTTGGCAAAAGGGGTTTGTTTTTGCTTTGATGGAAAAACAATGTTGAAAATGCCTACTACGAATGTCAGTATCTGTGCAGAGAAAACACAAGTTAATGATCCTTCATCACACCTAGTGTAGATCATGGACCTAATTGGTTAATGCTGTTTCCCACTTCAGATGCTGCCTGACCTATGGAGTATTTTCACTGTTTTGTGTTCACGTTTCAAATTTTTCACTATCTACTACAATGTCTATTACATAGATGTTCCAAGCTAGGCATTTGTAAATGTGGTCAGATTCAACTTAAAGTGAAAAAATATTAATGCATAGTGTACTTTTTCCCTGCAATAACATGCTATTGCAGCTAAATTGGTTGTTGCAACTTACTGGAGGCTTTGCCATGTTTAATTGGAAATGAAAGTGAGCTATGCACCAATAGAATATGATACCATGAGGTCAAGATATTCTGGTATGCAAATGGTGTTGTTTGAGGTTGAAGTCCTTTGCAGTAATTTTCTAAAAATACTGGAGAAACTCAGCAGGTCTGGCAGCATCTGTGGAGAGGGAACAGTTAATGTTGTAACAGTTTGAGCCCAATATCACTGTCTTTCAGAACCTGAAGAATCATGTTGAAATTAAAATGTTATCTCCGTTTCTCTGTTCACAGATGCTGGTAAATCACTGAGTTTCTCCAGCATATCTTGTTTATCTTTCATGTCTCCAGCAACCACAGTATTTTGCTTTTATTGAAGTTGTTTGCATATTGCTGACAAGTAGTGCATAGGGCCAGATTTAAAGGAGAGAGTTGATCGTGTAAATTATGAACTATTAAGTTGTAATGATTTGACAAGGTTGTAGTTTGTAAAGCCTATCATACTGAAACCTGATCTTTTAATGGCCTTTATAAATAGGTACTAAAAAAAAAACAAAAATTTTGTTGGTTCTGGTGTCCCTGGAATTGAGCTTGCTACACCATTTCAGAGGCATTTAAGAGTCAGTCATATTGCTATGGGTCTGAAATTATGTAGGGCAGACTAGGTAAGGACAGCAGATTTCCTAAAGGAGATTAGTGAACCAGATGGGATTTTACAACAAATGAGAGGTTATATGATTACCACTAGACTAGCTTCTAAGTTCATATTTTTAAATTCAAATGTCAACCTCTACCAGTTGTAATTTGAACCCATGTTCCCAAAACATTAAAATCTGGGGATTCTGGATTACTATTACGTTTACATTATCAGTACGCAACCACTTCCCCAGAAGCTGAGTTTGCCAAACCAACAAACAAAATTTCACCTCTACTTATTATCATATGGTGGGAAAGGGTATTTGGGGATGGAGTGTGGTAGAACTGACTGGATTTCTCGTAGAACTGACACCGATTCAGTGGGTTGAATAGTCTCTTGTGATGCACTGTTCTAATTTCAACTGAAAATGTTGATAAATTGTATAGTTTACTTATTGCAAGTGGTTCTAGGTAACATATCTGTTAGCAGGCTTCTATTCTGTAAATTGGTTTATTTCCTTGGAATCATGTTTTGGTTACAGTGACCTCAATGGTGTAAAATACAAGTGACATCTTTCCTGTTATCCAGTCAGTTCCACCTGGTTCTTGGACTTGTACAATTCTCCCTGGCTAGGTGCATCAATTGTCGCTCTGTCTTGTGATGAAGTGGAATTGTGTGCTGTTCAGGCCGCAAGTATCTAAACATCATCTTGAATATTGGATTGCCCCAGATAGCTTCAGGATTTAGTAAATCAATAATTTTAAAAGTTGATTGAGAGCAGTGGTGTGTCAGTTGGGTTTTAATGATCAAATGTAAGTATTGACTTGTATTGTGGAAACTATCACTTGCTCAGTGAAAAATCTTTTGTTTTACATATAACAACATATAATACTAAGGGAGTAATTATCTTCACAAAATGTAGATATTTCAAATTTGGATTTGGTGCATCGTGTAGAAAAATCTAATCCTCAACAGGGATTTCTACCCAGATATGAAGTTTCTTTCTGTTGAAACAGTGGTTGATCAAGGGGTATTATCTAACTAATTTATTGCAAGGGAATAGATTTATCTCTGAATTGGCCATAATGGTCATTCTGCTTGCCTTCAAAATAACTTTGCTATGAATTGTTCTGTATTTAGGTCGTAAACACAGTAGAGTTGCTACAATTAGTTGGACTAGGGAGTTCTGATCACATACGTTTACGCAGACAAGACCAGAATACCTCAGATCGGCTCTCCAGATGGTGAAGTTATGTAAGTGTATCTCTTCCTTGGCTTAGCATCCCACAGACCAGGAATGTCCTGAATTGTAAACTGGCTCTGCTGGTTAGTGCTAGAGGGACCACAGTTGCCCATGTTCCCAGGGTGACTTTAAGCAATTCATATAAAGTATGAAAGAGTTGCTGTAGAGAATAAACGAGATGGGTAAAGGAATCAAACCAGAGTAAGATAAACATTGTATGATGTTTCTTATTAAGTCTTTACATGTAATGCTGCAACAAATTCTCAGGTGGTATGCTGATTATAAACAGCATTTTACCCATGGTTCTTAACTTCTTTCAGTTTTCTAATATGTTAACACTTTGACTCTCTTCATACTGGGAAAAGTATTTATTGTATAGCATTATTTGTGGTAAACTTGAGAATGTAACCACAGTACACAATTATTTATACTGCGAGTGCTTATCATTTTGGACAATCGGATTTGATTCATTTTGTTAAATTTGAGTTGTTTGTCATCACTGGATGAATAACCTTGCTTGAAGGTTGCATTGAAATGATTGAGACAACTTTTTTTGGTAAATGAAAGCTGAGAATTCAAGAACCTAAAAATAATTGAACATGTGTGTTTGTTCCATATTAATGGTCAACTAATATGGAGCTGGTTTCAATCCTACTAGTATTCCGTTCTAGGAATGTTTAATATGCCAGCAGACAAGACAGTTGGGTACATTTTTAGCACATACTGTTTGACGAATCTGAAATAATCCCCTAAAACTGTTAGTTTGGAAACACAGCTTCAAAACTGGTGTGAGAATCTTAAGGGTAGAATTTTCACCAGTTTGTGCTGGGATCTGGTTGTAAAATTGGCCAAGTCAATGTCGAGAATTTTGGGATTTTAAAAAGAAAGCTGCATCCTAAAAATACTTGAGATTGTGTTTTCATGATCTCTTCTGCTTGAAGATGCAGTGCTCCCAAATTGGGCTGTGCTCACATACCCAGGTTGTAATTGATTGACACTGCTGCCTGTGCTAGTTCTGGAAGACTCTTTAGATTGCATCTGTTTTTTTAAGGTACATAAGTTCATTTCTAAAGAATATTTAATGTACTGAAAAAAGCTGATTAGTGGATACCAATTAATCTAATCATTGATTCTACATAGTTTTTGTTATTTTCAGTAATTTTTAACTTGAAGTGAAGATGCTTGTCTCTGATAAATCCATTTTCATGAATAAAACTGAATAGACAGACCAAGGGATACATTTTCATAGGTCAGAGAAGTGCAAAGCTGGTTCTATTACAGTACCCAATTGTGTGGTTTTTGGAATTTTGTGATTACATGGGTGCATTCCAGCAAGCAAAGCTAATTTATCTTTTGGGGGCGGCACGGTAGCACAGTGGTTAGCTTAGCTGCCTCACAGCGCCAGGGTGACTGTCTGTGTGGAGTTTGCACATTCTCCCCGTGTCTGTGTGGGTTTCCTCCGGGTGCTCCGGTTTCCTCGCACAGTCCAAAGATGTGCAGGTTAGGTGGATTGGCCATGCTAAATTGCCTGTAATGTTCAGGGATGTGTAGATTAGGTGGGTTATAGGGGGATTGGTCTGGGTGGGATGCTCTGAGGTTTGGTGTGGACTTGTTGGGCTGAAGGGCTTGTTTCCACACTGTGGGGATTCTATGAAGAATTTGAACTTTATTGTGACCAGTACACACTCTAGATTGCATCCAAAGTGAAACATATTCCCCCTTAGACTTACTAACACAGTATGGAGCTGGAGGGACACAGCAGGCCAGGAACAGCAGAGGAGCAGAAAAGTTGACGTTTCGGGTCGGGACCCTTCTTCAGAAAATGTTCTGAACTTCTTCAGTTTCCGAAGAAGGGTCCTGACCCAAGAGGTCAACTTTCATGCTCCTCTGATGCTGCCTGGCCAGCTGTGTTCTGTTATCTCTGACTCCAGCATCTACAGTTCTTGCTACCCCTTAGACCTGAAATGGTTTTCTGCAGCTCTCCATATTAAAATGTTATACTGAAGGATTTTGGAATCAGGAACCTGAAATAAAGCAGTACTGTAACTTTTTTGAGAAAGCAATTTATTTTGGAACAAGCAAGTTTCGAATCGTAGAATCTCTGCCGTGCGAAAGGAGAGCATTTAGTCCATCAAGTCCCCACCATTTGGACTGTTTATTGCCATGTTGACATCCTATACCTTAAATGGTCTGGTGACAATTTTTGGGTGTATTGTTTTCAAAGCCCATGACCACACCATGAAATGTCTCTAGTAAGCCTTATCAAATGTTTTTGAACGGCATTTGAACTTTCAAACAGAGTTCATTAGGAGTATGAAAATGTACAGGATCATAAAATGACAATATAGTCTACCTGGTTGGTCCTGTTGTCTAGATAATATAATCTCCTCACCATATTGCTTTTATGCCTTGTCAAACTTTTCTTCACATAATATCCAATATGCATGTTACCAGATTTGCTGGTACAATATTGATCAAAAGAAATTTGTCTGGGCTATTCTTATTAAATATTCTAACTGATTTTCATTTCTGTAAATCAACTTTAAAAGTACTGCTTTGTATTGATATTTATTTGTTTGAGCTGTGAGCATTGCTATGAAGTAAACATTTGCCTATCTCTAATTGCCTTTGAGGCAACAGTGGTAAATCACTGCAGCATGTTGTAGGTGCACTCTACTTTTAGGAAGGGAGTTCCGGTTTTTATGACCCTCCTACAGTGAAGGAAAAGCGATTATTGATCCAAATCAGATTGGTGAGTAACTTGCAGTGAAAGTTGCACACATTAATAATATTCCCATGAATCTGTTGCCCTTAACTTGCATGGTAGAGGTCATAGGTTTGGAACGTGTTGTTGAAAGAGCCTTGACAATTAACTTCATCTTGCATCAGTGGTAGAGGGGTTGCTGAGTGAATATTTAAGGTAGTAGTTGAGGTGTTCCTGAAGTGAGCAGGACCATTGTTGTACCAAGCAACTTGAACACATGCAAGGGAAAGCAAGACAAAGAAATAAAGCTAATACAGAGGCTGTCTTAAAATGTTGCTGGTGAATGTACTTGATGGGTATTGACCTTGTTGAGAGTTTTCTCATGCTAGATGATCGCTTACAAATGATCTGAAATATTCATATGTTGTCACTCAGGATTCCCTCATTCAACTTACTTGGCAATTGCAATTTGAGATACAGTACACTTATGTTATGCTGCTCTTACTAGTGGCAACGTCGTCTAAATTACTTAACTAAACAAAATGAATTCCACAAATAAAGAGCGCAGAACCTGCACCATAATTCTTTATGGGAATTTACAGTTTGAGGCTTAAGCGTATTTGTGCATATTTGGCACAGTGTATTTTTAAAATGCAGTTCAGTTTTAAATGCAATGCATTCTGATGCCGTGAAATCAATTCTGATATACAGAATGTGCTAAGCTGGACTTAATAAAGAAAAATAAATAACCAGAAGTTTGGTTCCTAGTGTGCTTAAAATTTTGCATGCTAATTTACAGCCTACTCAGAATCTGTGTACATAACAGCTATGTTAATGATGGACACCAGGTACTGGCAGAAGTTCATTTGAATTGTTACAGAAGTTCACTTACTCCTTGCAGTGTAAAACAGCATGCATGATGTCAATGAAAATTTCCTCTTTTTCACTGAACATTTGTATCATGGTGGTATTCTGGCAGAGAGCATCAAAAAAATTCCTGGTTTGTAACTAATAATGGGAGGAAAAATTAATTGATTTAGCAATGCCTCAAAAAGCATCACTTGCACCTGAAAGAGGGCTGACGTGCTGAATACGTTGCACGTTCACGTCAGACACCTGTATCCATTTGAATGCCAACTCCCTCTCGTTGCAGTTCTTTCTGCTTGTCTGATAGAGTTACTAGATTATACTTTGGTTTATTTCTCACTTCATTACTCACTTATTCAGATACTGCCATAAGGAATGATCTAAAGAATAAGGACTGTTTAATAGGCAATGTTTAGTTTTTAACTTGAGCTATAATAGGTTGTCTTGATTCTGAAATTTTCACGAAATTACAGCTATTCTCTGACATCATAGGGTTAGAGTCACTTCTAACTTACTTGGATTTAGCCATTTATAGGAATGTGGCTGTAGCCTCATCATAGGCTAGAACTTAAATGTCAGCATTCCAGAAACTGCATGATACTTGGCTCCAGATACAACATGAGCCTCCCTGTAGGAAATCTGTCAGAACTTCCAGAATTTGGGTTTTGTTTAATGTTTATACACAGTTAAGTCCTGCTTACGTTTGCATTCCGAGTATTTCAAATTACAGATGTACAGTTTTTGAGGTCTTACAGCTGAACTAGAAGGAATGGGCACTTCAAATGCTGTAATTTGGCTTAGCTTAATGAGTATTGTTGCTTCAGGTAAGCAAAAGTGGGTCATGCACAGACCCTGAATAGTCACTTAGCAAGCCATTACTGGCCAGCTAATAAATGAGCCAGGGACTTCCAGCCTCGTCTCCTGAACCCTTAAGGGGTAGTCAGGCACTTCTAAGGGTGAAAGGAAGATTTTTTTTTTTAAAGAAGTGACTTTATGAAATTAAAACTGCATTGTTCCTGGTGTTATACCTTTGAGTATCATATATTTTGTTGAATTTAAATGTGTTTTGGCTATTAATCTATCTTTCCTAGTGCTGAGTATCAATAGTGTGGATTTATGAAGTTACAACATTATCTGTTGAGAACACATACCAGTTACGTGCCTGACCTGTTGAGTCTTGTAGAAATTTCTTTTTCAGTTGCAATTGCTGCTCTACAGCAATTTGCATTGTGTTACTGGCATACCGATTCACAGCTATGTAGAAATACTCCGCAAAAGAAACACCAGCATATATGCTTCACAAGATCAGTTCTGCAATATAATAAGAGCATGAGTTAACATAAGTAGTGAGTCGTCATATTTAGGTAGCTTGTGCATCTTAATTTATAAACTGTCTGTAATCTGGACTCTGTCTTTTTCCAGATTGTTGTTCAACTAATT